GATTCATGTTGTCCAAGACAAGTTTCTTCCAAACTTGGGCAAGGATCTGCATCACTTTGTCAACAATATTCTGGTTGCTGCTTGCATGGGTCATTCCTAAAATGGAGAAACCTGAGCCACCATCTCCTTTAGTTTCAGCATGAGGGGCACTCTATTGTCAATTTGGGCTAAACTGGAAAGTAGGCCCCATTCAAACATACGTGTACCCCCTCTCACCAAACACACAGTTCACTCCTATGCAGTTACTCTAGTCTAAACCCATAGAAATCAGTGGGCTTAAACTGCAGAAACACTACATATAGGATTGCATTAAGAATACACTGCTCAGCGATATGATGGTGTTTTGGCTTCTCATATATTTTGGACAGGTTACCATTCACGAAACCCGGGCGGGGGGTAAAATCTGCTGTGACTGAACAGAAGCCTTTTAACTCCTTAAAGGAATTTGCCAATCTTGAGGGTGCCACATTTTGCCTTCATTTTTGCTTTATGAGACTAACGTGACTAGGTTTTCTGGAATTTCATTCCTGAATGTTGATACTCAAACATAACAGTTCTCACTCTTCTGCCTTCCTGTGACTCTTGGAGCAAGTAGTCAGAATGCTTGGAAAAAACCTTATGTGGCAGAGCTGCAACCAACATGCTCCGTCCTATACCATTCTGCTCATCTAGACCAGGTTGAAAAAAAGTTGGTATGAACACTTATCCTCTGCAATCATAATTTATGCAGCACCTAAATAAAAGACACATTTTATTCCCAGCAATTAAGCAGAGGATTCATGTGGTTTAGAACCTTCACTTATGTGGATGAGCTATTCCCTAAGAATCATGAAGCATGGCTCTGGTTACTTTGCGGTGGGAAATGCAGTGTTGCACCCACATTTAGAATGCTTTCAGTTCTACAATATTGATAATAAATTCTGGAGCTATGGCATACAAATGAAGCCTAATAAAGTTGTGTCAGGGTGTGGGTGCCTACATAAGTAAGGATCAAGGTTTCTTTGTTTGGCCAAGAAAGTAATCCATCCTCCTTCTGTTCAACTGCTAACATCTTTGGTCTTGAAATCTTCACAGTTCCATGGGGACATTTCCCAACAAGACGGAAGTGCTATTGGTGGGGTCTGACTAGGGATTTAAAGTGTCACCCATTCTGGATGCGGTTGCACTGCAGGCTTTGCAGGCTGTGGCTGGTTGGCTTCGACTGAGCCAACTGAAATTGAATCCGATGAAGACAGAGGTCCTGTGCCTGAGCCAGAGCAGTCTGGGGGTAGGGATCTCACTCCCGGCCTTCAATGGGGCATAGCTGGTGCCAGTGAGCTTGGGAGTGCTCCTGGATGCCTCCTTAAACATTGGAGGCCCAGGTAGCAGCCACTGCCAAGTCAGCCTTTTATCATCTTTGGATGATTAGGCAGCTGGTTCCCTTCAAGCGCAACGATTTGGCAAGTGATCCGCACAATGGTCACCTTGAGACTGGACTACTGTAACGCTCTTTACATGGGGCTGCCCTTGTCTCTGGAAGCTGCAGCTAGTGCAGAATACTGGAGCTAGGCTGCTGATGGGTCTCCCTATGCGGGAGCACATCCAACTTGCACAGAAGGTGCTGCACTGGCTGCCGATAGCATACCAGATTTATTTCAATGTGCTGGTTTTAACCTTTAAAGCCCTATATGGTCAGGGTCCGGTGCACCTAAGGGACCGCCTTTCCCCACATTCCCCGGAGAGCACTGGATTGTCTCGCCTTTCCCCACGTTCCCCAGAGAGCACTGGATTGTCTCACCCTCCTAGGCCCCAAAGATGCCAGGCTAGCGACAACCAGGGCCTTCTCAGTGGCGGCTTCATACTGGTGGAACAAGCTCCTGGAAGAGATCAGGGCCCTGCAGGACCTTTTACAGTTCCGCAGAGCCTGTGAGACGGAGCTCTTCCACCAGGCTTTTGATTAGGAGCCACACTATACACCAAGGAGTGTCCCTGTGCCCTGGCTTCACCATCTTCATCTCCAGCCTGTACCTTGGTTTACCAGCTTGCCGCCACACAATAAGTGGAGTGAGCTGAGCTGGTGTGAACATCATCAGAATATACGGTAAATCGCCCTAAGCCTGCCTCGGCGGGGAGGGCGGGATATAAAGTGAATTAAATAAATTGAAGAACAGGTCCCTAGTCTGGGGATGCTCTTGGACCCAGGCCTGCTGCTGGATAAGCAGATGGCAGCTGTGGCCAGGAGTGCCTTTTACTAGCTTTGACTGGTTAGCCAGCTGCAGTCTTTCCTGGGTAGAAAAGATCTGGCCATCACAGTGCATGTCCTGGTTACATCTAGATTATATTGTTACAATGTGCTCTGTGTAGAACTGCTCTTGAGAAGCTTCAATTGATTTAAAATGCTGGCACCAGAATGTTGACTAGATTGGGTCATAGGGACTGTATCTCTTTAGTCTTGGCCTATCTACACAGGCTCCCAATTTACTTCCAGGTGCAATTCAAGGTGCTGGTGGTGACCTTTAAAGCCCTATGAGGTTTACAACCACTATACTTGAAGGACTGCCTACTCCTTTATGAACCTACCTGGTCACTACAGTCATCTTCAGCGGCCCTGCTTCAGGTATCCCCACCTTCTGAGATTAGGCAGGTGGCAACCCCAGAGAAGGCCTTCTCAATAGTGGCATCAAAATTCTGGAACTCCTCTCTGTCCCTTTCTGTTGCCATCTTTTGATTTCAATGTTTCCTAAGTTATCCTTCCTCCTTGCCCGGTGACATATTTGTCATCTACATCCCTCATTACCCCAGGAGGCAACAGGGCAAGCAACCTGCATGACGCTAATGTGAGAATGGATCATTGATTTGCAATTGTGGTCCTTCTATTAGCTGTGCACCATTGCACACAACCCTTCCCTTGGGCCACTACTGCCATTTGGCTGCATATTTGGTGTGTGTGTTTGGTGTAATGGTTAAGAGCGCGGACTCTAATCTGGGAGAACTGAATTTGATTCCCCACTCCTCCACATGCAGCAGCTGGTGTGACCATGGGTCAGTCACAAGTTCTTTCAGAGCTCTTATCTCAAGGGCAGTTCTCGGGAGAGCTCTCTCAGCCCCACCTACCTCACAGGCAATGCTCCCTCTAAGCTGTGGAGTCTTGTGAGCAAAAATTCTATTTTGTGAGCTACTGACATTAAAGTTGTGAGCAAGTGACTTGGCTACTGCATAAATTAGCCTGTGCTGGAGCCATCGTTCCTGAGCTAAGACAAAAATGTGTGAGCAGGAGGCTAAAGAACTGAGCTAACTCACACTAACTCAGCTTAGAGGGAACACTGCTCACAGGGGGTCTGTTGTGAGGAGGAGAAGAGAAAGGGATTGTAAGCCATTCTGTGACTCCTTCAGGTAGTGAAGTGTGGATATTGCCAATGGTATAAAATAGCACAAGAACCAATATAGGGAAAGATGTCTGAGAAAGACAAAGTAGGCAGTGCCTATGCAGCAATTCTAATTTTGATGAAGGAACCTGATATTTGACTATGAACATCACAGATGATCTTCTTTTAATGCCCAATATCCAGCATTGCAGCAGCTGGAAGAGAGTAGGGGACCCATATCAAATATGTGGAGCAGTTTCCTTGTCCAATAGGCATGCCTCTTGTCTCATCTCCTGGACACTTGCCTGGCACTCCTCCTCTGTGCTGCCTTGTTGCATCACTTGGGACATCATCATTTACTGTCTCTGATTTTAATGTTGTATATGCCATTAAAGGTCTATTGATTGATTGATTGACTTGGGACATCATGCCGAAGGCTGTGAAAACTCCCAGCCATGTGGTATAGGGTGTTAACAACATGCTGTTTTAAAGGCTTGCTCAGTCTCCAAGCAGGGCTATCCAGGATGGTGATATACCCCAGAAGCGAGAGAGTAAACCAAGAGATCATCACAAAGCAATGGCTTACAGTTGATAATCAGCAACATCTGCATGTACAAGTATGGTCACACCCTTCATATACTTCTCAACATTTCAATCTTCCCATGGGTGCTTCACCACTTATTCAGAGTCATAAAATTCATTTATATTTTTGTCATCAAGGTTTAGCAAGATGGGAGAGGGATGGTAATTACTATGCATTACTAAGTGGGAACATTATCCCTGATTGAGGAGCTGTGCTGGGAGGTCAAGGCACCTGGTGTTTCACATCACCCTTGGTGTAACCCTACCATGGCAACCTGTTCTTCTACCACATTTTCAGCACTAATAATATTATCTCCAGAAACACAACCTTTACACCTACTCTAAAGGGATTAGACAGTGAGGGGCTTTGTTGGGCTTAAGCTCCCATATGGTAGTGGTGAGCAGTGTTCCCTCTGAGTTAGTGTGAGCTAGCTCACAGTTTATTAGCCTCCACCTCACACATTTTTGTCTTTGCTCAGGAAGGATGGCTCCAGAGCAAACCAACTCATGCAGTAGTCAAATCGCTCACTCAAAACTTTAATGCCAGTAGCTCACAAAGTAGAATTTTTGTTCACAAGACTCCACAGCTTAGAGGGAGCATTGGTGGTGAGCAGGCAGTTCCTCAGCCTCTTCTAGGCTATTTATAACAACTATCAAATGACGATTTGGGAGAACCATTTGTGCTATACAAACTCACTTCTCCACTCTTTTCTGTGACTACAGTCAGTACCAGCTTCTAAAAAGCAGTGCCAGTAACTGGCAAGTATTGTACCAGCCCAGCTCATACTGCCTGGCCACAGACATCTCTCCTAAAGAGGCCAAGTGAAGGTTGCTCAGCTTCTCTCTCAGAATAAGCTGGTAAGATGAATTCAGGAAGTGTAATACATAGCTTCACAAAGCATTCATTTTTCCAGGAAAACCTCCGTGATGAGAAAATCTGAGATAAGAACCAAAGTCAGAGGAAAAAGAAAGGTATTAGTGATGCAGCACATATCCCTCCATGCCTAGAGAGTACATTCAATACTAACTCTAGAGAAAAATTAATTACTGATATTCCACTTTATCAAAGGGCAGTTAAAACAACAGATGCTGGAAACACCATCAGATTGCAGCTTTCTTTCTACCAAGACAACATGCTAATTACTAACACTCTGCTCATAATAAGCCAGGTCTAATTGAAAAAGTAACCAATTCTTGAAATTGTTTTTAAGAGCTTAGCAACACCAAACTGGAGCTTTCTCCTGTAATTGGTGTAGTTATTTTTCCCTCTAGAAGCAGTAACTTGGAAGTCAAGCTTTGCAAAACATTTGCTTTCTAGGCTCAAAGGAGATCCACCTGCTAAACTAGTGAGCATGGTATTTTTTTATATGCCTGATCTTGTTTCATGTTCTGTTTTTCTTGAGGAGACCTTTTCCTTCACAAAGAAGTGTTTAGAATTTACATCACTCCAAGGTATTCATAACCTTTACCCATCTGGAAGTAGCTGTGAGGGAAGCTAGCAAACCCAAAATTGCAGACATATATGAAAGTTTGGTTAGACTACTTCTTGTTTGTTGTTTGAGAAGTGTGTATGTATGCACATGGGGATGCTTTCAAATTTACCTAGAATAGGTCCCGTTCGACTAGATCCGCTCTAGTTTTGCCACATTAACATTCCCCAATAGGCAGGCAGACAAAGCCTTCCTCTTCTTCCTAATTTACCCCAACATGGATTAATTGTTGCACCTTGATCTTCAGTGGCAGAAGCAGCCAGGAGTTCATCAAATCTAATAGAGAAGGCTACAACTCTTTCAATGTGATGTGCACCTAGTAGCTATCATTCTTGTCTTGATAACCTTGAACAGACTAATGTAATACATTTTATGCAGGATGCTCCAGATGCTGGAACAGGAGAATTACATGGAGATTCTGGGAGCTACTGATGGCAGTAGCCCTCACTACGCCAGTACAATAACGGAGACCTATGTCTCCGAAAGCTGCCCTTGCCTCCTGAGACTTTGTTGCAGAATGCTGACAAGGACAACGTAGGCCTATTTATTACCCCAATCAGTCTAGGTAAAACAGAACTAAAATTACCCTACAAGTGCCGCAAACTTTAGCCCTGTCTTCTCTTTCCTTTCCCCCCATGTCTTCCAAAAGCTATACACCCCCTTCTCTTTTGAATTCACCAATAATCACCAGCTTAGAAATAGCCTTAATATAATTTCAAGGCTGCAGGGCCTTCCACTTCAGTCAGACACAAGCTGCCTCATGCATGGCAAGGGCAGACTTTTTAGGAACAGACAATACCACAGATATGTCTACAGGAGTGTGCTTAGGCAGATAAGGGGACAGTCATTGCACCAGTCCAGTGAGGGGGGGAAGGGGGGGCCGTCTTCAGCTTGAGCTTGTGCTCCATGTCCTTGCAGCCTGCTGCCACCGAACATGCAGTAGGGGTTAAGAAACAGCCCATTGTTGAGTGGAGCAGCCTCAGCGGGTTAGCTGTAAGATTATTGTCCTAAGAACTGGTTCCGTAGCAGCATAGGGCAGTGACAAGTGGCCAGCAGAAGTGTTCATGCTCCAGTATCTTGGTGCAAGTGTCCTCAATAGTCTGCTGTGTACTCAGTGCCGTGCAGTCCCCGACAGAGCAGTGTGAACTCCTTCACCATATCTTTCACACGTCGTTTGTTTACACGCTCTCTGCTAACACAAAGAAAGTGTGGTGAAATAATGATACACAACACTGGCAATTCCAGATGCACACCCGTCTTAGTCTTTAGCAGCAAAATAAAAGGGGACTCCAACAGCACCTTAAAACCTAAAAAAATTATTCCAGCATAAGTTTTCATCACGGGCATCCAGTGAAGTGAGAGTTACAGGAGTAACCCCAAATTTGAAGTCCTCAGCAAAAAACAACAACAATTGTCTTGAAGTTTTCTGTTTTTCTTCCCTGAGCTCTTACATCTCTTATAGTAGTATTATTACACTGTGACAGATATAGGCTTGCTAGGCCTCAAAAGATTTCCAGATTGAACTTTGACAGACTCACTTCAGCCTTCAGCTTGACTCAGTTTGGTGAACTATGCCTGCATTTTTGAAGAACAGATATCCATGTAGTGTATACGGGGCAGGATGCCCTTTTGTGAGAACTAAATATACAAATTCCACTAGTAGACAACACCATCAAAGATTGCCAAAATAATATATTAAACAATTATAAAGTTGGTGGTGTCACAACAACAACATTAATGCATACTGTAACTATAATAAGGCATAAGATGCAATATTTCCTCCTTTGAAGGTAAGACATAAAGTCCACGTAGTCATAACATTTTCCAAACAGCCTTTGCAAAGACACCCATTCTAGATACACTATGAACCTTCTTACACTATAAACCTTGTGGTCTGTTGAAATTGCTGAAATCAGGTTCCACTTACACAGCCGGCAAATTGAAGAAGTCAAAGAAAACTCATCTTCCAAGTATCTAGAATGGGTGTCTTTGCAAAGCCTCTTTGGAAAATGTTATGACCATGTGAACTCCTCCTATCAAGTTACACTGTCTTATCTTCAAAGGAGGTAATATTGCATCTTATGCCTTATTATAGTTACAGTATGCATTAATGTTGTTGTTGTGACACCACCAACTTTAATTATTTAATATATTATTTTGGCAATCTTTGATGGTGTTTTCTACTAGTGGATTTTATATATTTGGGACTCCTGTGACACTAGTCTTTTTCCCTTGTTGTTTGGATTTTGTGAGAACTGGCCTTGTGGTTCAAAATTGTTAATGCCAATAGATTCACAACATCCTAGCATGTTGTTCTGCAAACTCTGTGGAAAGTCTCATGAACTTTTACCTTAAAAGGGGAGGTGAAATCAACTAGAGAGACAGAGAGCCTGAAATGATGCCCAGGAATCTGCTGCATTTTCTATACATCCATACACACACATATATATTTTCTGATAGGCTAAAGGCTGGCAACTGAGGTAACTGGATAGATCCTGGTCTGTCTAACCTCCCAAAAAGGAACATCTGTGTCAATATGCCATTATGACACACTCTCTTGGCCACTGGGATGCCTCATGTTTCCTTCTCCCCAAATTTTAATTGGCCCAGCATTCATCCCCGGTCACCAATTCATCCAGTACTCTTTCCTTATCTTGCAGACCTGTCTAAATCACATGGGTCTGGTAACAGAATTCTCCAGGGAGCAAGTGAACCCCATCAACCACACTCAGAAGAGTGTTATTCCCCCTAGAACTCATAAACAAGGGTGATGGCCCTGTGGTTCTTCATATGGAAGATGATGTGCTTCATGGAGACTGGCTATTAAAAATAAGAAACCCAGGCAATGTCATAAAAGGTAGCCGTCTCACTATAAGGATAAAAACCTAAGTATTAGCTTAGAAACAGCATTCATTTCTGTTATCTGTGCAACCTGTTCCTGCTTGAATCTACTTCCCGATACTTTGTACTTTCTTGAACACTTTAATTTGTTTCAGTATCACTTCCCATCCTTTGTGGGATATTAGACTGAAGTAAAGAGATTACATTTAAGACAATTGGCTCTAGGGAACTAAAAAATCTTTTAAAATGCTACCCAATCTTTAAGACTCCTCAGCTTGGAATAAGCTCTCCACTGCAGGAGAATCCATGGTAGAGGTATTGAGAAACTAAGGAGCTGCTCTCTGTATGAAATGGCAGGAGCTTTCATTCATAGGGCCTTGTGCATGTTTTGGGATGCAAATGAGATATGCAACAGCTAGGGTACTCACCTAAGAATTTGCTGACTGAAGATTTCCTTCTGCTCAGGGGTGACACGGGCTGATGGGAAACCATCCTGCTGCATCACTTCCTTGATCCAGATGCTCAAGTAACTGAAGCAATGCTTGCTGAGAGCAAAGAGGATCTCAGCCAGCTGATCCATCAAATTGCGTGAGGCTTGGCCACCTACACCCTGCAAGGGTGAAGCAAATCCAGACACCTTTTCAGCAAGCTGCAGTGCATGAGAAAGCCTCAACCTAGATCACCTTTGGCTAATTGTACCAAGATCTTGATTCAGAGCATTAGTATCTTCTACAGGTGCAGTCCTATGCATGCTTACTTAGTGAAGCTTCTTCCCAAGTAAACATACACAGGACTAGACCGCAAGTCAACCGGCAGCATTTTGGTATCAAGGAGGCAGAATTCACAAAACTTATTTAGCTAAGTGAACAACACACCAACCAATAACACTACCTCGTTGCTCCTAACCTAGCCTGCAAAGCCACTGTTCTCACTCCTTACCTCAAGAACAGCTTGCAGCAGCATTTTGCCATTCTCGTGGACCACCTGACCCACAGGTGGGATCTCCCCACAGCGTGGTAACAGCTCAGTCTGGTAAAAAAAAATGATTTCAGAAAAACTGATGCAAACTGCCCGTCACTTGGCAGAGAAACTTCTGTGCCCAGTTACAGACTAGACAACAGATTGAGATACCTTTTTCTTCCCCCAAACACAAAAATCAGACTACAAAAGACGAGGCACCCTCAAATGACAATTTATGGTGGAAAAATCCTTTCAGAAACCTGGGAGAAACCTCTCTCACACCAATGCTGGGTGTTTCTCCACATTGTTCCAGCTGTAGTGGAACTATGTGGGCTTGTGGGCCACTTGCCCAAACATGGCTCTGTTTTATTTAGCTAAGTGAACATGGTTCAGGCAAGGGTAATCCCACAATTAGCAAAGGATAGATCTGCCACAAACACAATACTCACAAAAAAGCCACAGGCAGATTTGACAGTTGGTGCTTCAGGGAATTTCAAGGAGATCACGCCTAGAGGAAAAGCAGCACTAGTCAAGACTTAATCTACCACCACTCACAGCTTTCCACATGGCAGGGTATAAGAGAAAACTTTCCTTCTGTAAGTAACACAAGACTTCTGCCAGTCTGGGTTGGGGGATGTTTCCATACTAAAAACATGGGGGTTTGCCCTGATTCTAGCATCGATCTGGAGCTTCAAGCAGCAAAACTCCACCTGATGAGAACAATTTGCCCAGTCACTTCAAGAAACACAGTTTTATCAGATGTGTCTACTCACCACAGTGGAACACTGCCTTGACATCCAGGCTGCTACACAGGAACAAGTCAGGTTTCCGTTTGAGTGCCTGTAAAGTATACACACATACACAGAGAATAAACACAGCTCTGGCAAGCCAGGGGCAAGCAAGTGCCATAGAACAGCTCCCTGGCAAAGACCTGCATGTGCACTTACCTGGCCATTGGCCATGGTGTACAGTAAGCCATACATGGAAAAACAGAAAAGGATACAAGCTGGAAACTTCTGAAGCCAAGGATAACTAGGACCCCAGTATACTAAGAACCTCTGAAGTGACATGCAATTGAAACATTAACCAGATAAGAACATAAGAGAAGCCAATGTTGGATCAGGCCAATGGCCCTTCTAGTCCAACACTCTGTCGCACAGTGGCCAAAAATACCAGGTGCCATCAGGAGGTACAGCAGTGGGGCCAGGACACTAGAAGCCCTCCCACTGTTGCCCCCCCCCAAGCACCAAGAATACAGAGCATCACTTGCCCCAGCCCGAGAGTTCCTATCTATACCTTGTGGCTAATAGCCACCGATGGACTTCTGCTCCATATGCTTATCTAATTCCCTCTTGAAGCCGTCCATGCTTGTAGCCGCCACCACCTCCTGTGGTAATGTGTTAATCACTCTTTGGGTGAAGAAGTACTTCCTTTCATCTATTCTAACCCGACTGCTCAGCAATTTCATTGAGTGCCCATGAGTTCTTGTATTGTGAGAAAGGGAGAAAAGTACTTCTTTCTCAGCCTGCTCTATGCCACGCATAATCTTATAAACTTCAATCATGTCACCCCTCAGCCATCGTTTCTCCAAGCTAAAGAGCCCCAAGTGTTTTCACCTTTCTTCACAGGGAAAGTGTTCCAACCCTTTTATCAGTCTAGTTGCCCTTTTCTGCACTTTTTCCAATGCTATAGTATCCTGTTTGAGGTGTGGTGACTAGCACTGTACACAGTACTCCA